ACCTAAGCTCTCTCCTGTTATTTCTTCTATCCGTAAGTCCTTCCTTTGCTCCACTGTCCGCAGCTTTAATAAATGTACTCTCAAAATCACTTGGACTCATATGTGAAATCTTTCCTGCAGAAAGTCAATAACCCACACACTACAGGCCGGCCTGAGGTAGACCTGCTCTGGGTCCAGTCCCCATCCGGTCACATAATAATTGGGGAAATAAAGGTCCAGCTCTCCTCTCCCCAATTTGAGACAATTATGAGGATCACCCCAGCTTCAGAGCTCATTCTTGGGGTTGTTGAGACTGCATCACAGTCCAACTTCCATGGAAATTGGACTTCCTTTCTTTGCATGGCATTGAAGGCCTCCCTAGTAAATTGCTATACTCTAATTTTCATCTTAGAGTCTGCTTTCAAGAAACCCAATCTGAGAGTAAAGATGATATAGGTCTGATCCAGATTTAAATCTCCCAAGGAAAGGTACTTAACTTCATAGTAAAGTCAGTAAATATAAAAGGCTTTACAAAGACTAAGGAATGATAAACTCTTTTATCCCTACAATTCATTTCCTTATTTCAGCTACTTTAAGTAATCAAGAGATCTGGAATATTTTGAGGGCTGCCTTTGTGCATCTGTTTTAGTATCATGTAAACTATTAATGACAAACTGTACCAAATGCAATTATTACCTAACTTAAAAGAAAGCAAAAAGTAAAAATTAAACATTAATGAATTTAGTATAAACACGGCATTGCAGAGAGCAGTTGTTCTTATCATGGGTGTTAATTAAATCTGACTTGATAAAGAATTGCTTTACCATTAAAAGCTACTCAATACATTAAGTACAGTACTACTTTTTAAAAAAAATCCTCATCTGAGGATATACTTATTGATTTTACAGAGATGGAAGGAAGGAAGGAAAGAAGGGATGGATGAAGGGAGGGAGGGAAGATAGATTAATGTGAGAGAGAAACATCAATGGTTCCCTCCCATATGCACCCCATCCAGGGATGGAACCCACAGTCTAGGTATGTGCCCTGACCAGGAATCAAACTCCCAACTTTTTTACTGCCTGGGACAATGCTCCAACCAACTGACAGACTCAGGTAGGGCTTCAGTACAATACTTTTATTTTTTTTATTTTTAATATATTTTATTGATTTTTTACAGAGAGGATGGGAGAGAGATAGAGAGCTAGAAACATCGATGAGAGAGAAACATCGATCAGCTGCCTCCCACACATCTCCCACCAGGGATATGCCTGCAACCAAGGTACATGCCCTTGACCGGAATCGAACCTGGGACCCCCCAGTCCGCAGACCGACGCTCTACCCACTGAGCCAAACCGGTTTTGGCAAGTACAATACTTTTAATTACAATGGACAGAAACACAATGCTTATAAAAAAGTCATTGTTAAAATATGAAAAGTTACAAATTATCAGAACTATTCAAGGCACAGCTGAGTAAAAAATAAATAAGTAACAAAACTATTTGCTTTATCGATATAGCGCTATTGGACTTAAGCTATTTTGGGCTTAAGTAATACCTTAACTTTGTAATAATGGTTGATGAAGTACAACTATTAAATTGAGGCTCAAGAATTATTTCAAGAATGTAAGTACTCATTTCCTAAGATTTAAAAAAAAACATGTTTTTTATTAATTGTAGAGAGAGAGAAGGGAGAGAGAGAGAGCAACAGCTATCAGTTGCCACTCATACAGGATGGAACCAGCAACCTGGGCATGTGTCCTGACTGGGAATCGAACCAGCGGACCTTTCAGTGCACAGGACGACACTCAGCCAACTGAGCCACACGGCTAGGACAAGATTTTTTAAACTGTAAGACTATTTGTCAATTTGCTATTCAGATTGGCTAGCACTAGCCATGCTTTTGTAGTATTGCCTAATAATTCATGCTCACTACTAAAATCTGGAAGTTTTGCCAAAGTGTATAGATCCCAATACTCAGCTTTCCGATAAAAGTTAAATAATTGGTCTATATATGGAAAATGTTTCAGGCTACACTCCCTGGAAAATGGCCCAAAAGGCATTTAATTCTATCTATATATATTTCAGGAAACATGCTTAAACTTGAATCATCTGCTATGTGGAAATTTGAGAGGCATGCTGAGTGACAAATTACTATCATGACCTTTGCCATATTTCTTCACCATATTCTCTTCTTTCAATAAAATGAATCAACTAAGTAATATTACTTGTCCACAGAGACATGTTTTGATAGTCACAAGATGATATTTAATCAAAGAAAACTGAAAATAGCATAGAGTATTGAAAAGACCTGGTGCCAGTACTAACACACATAAAATATTTTAGTCAGAATTAGTAACTTATCACTAAGTTACTATAATTAGATTCCAAGTATTTCATTAACTTATTTAATACTTACCTTTCCCTATCATAACATAAAAGCAACCACTGACAACCCATCTTTATTTTTAACACTGCTTTTATTTGTGCTTTCCTCTAAATATCTCCTGCTCATATTTCCTTACTGCTGATTTCTTTTTATAAGAAAATTCATTAAAAATCAGAATCATTATTACTCTCATGTATAATAGCATAATGTTCAATTTCTTGCCCAAATTAAATAGCTTATAAGTCATTTTATTTTATGGCTTTTTTAAAAGATGGTTACTCTGTAATTAATCATTTAGAGGGCCAACTTCCTAATGGCAGATCCTTTAATGACAGAGAGTCATCTCTTAAAATGTACATTATGTGGAAAGTCTGAGAAGTATTAGGCCGTTGTCATCTTACCATGAACACTTCCTAATGTAATATCCCCAGCAGCAGAAGACAGAAATGATGATTCTGTGTAAAGATACTTGGCTTTCAGCAAACCATCTTCAGTAGATATATTAACAGAACTTCCCTGCAGTTTATCTATGGTCACAGTCTAGTAAGAGAAAGACTCAAATTAGTTCATTATAAAACAAACTAGAGGCCCGGTGCACAAAAATTTGTGCACTCGGAGGGAAGGGGGGGGGTCCCTCAGCCTGGCCTGTGCCCTCTCACAGTCTGGGACCCCTCGGGAGATAACGCCCTGCTGACTTAGGCCTGCTCCTCGGTGGCAGAGGGCAGGCCCAATCCCTAGGTGCAGCCCCTGGTTGGGCTCAGAGCAGGGCCGATTGGGGAGTTGGGGCGCCATCCTCTTTCACCCACAGAGCAGGGCCGATCAGGAGCTTGGGACGCCACCACTCTCACACTCAGGGCAGGGCCGATGGGGAGGTTATGGCTCTACCCCATCACGCACAGAGCAGGGCCCGTGGGGGGGGGGGGGTTGGGGCACCTCCCACTATCACCCACGGAGCAGGGCCGATCAGGGGGTTGGGGCACTGCCCCCTGTCACACACAGAGCCGCAGGGCAATCAGGGGGTTTGGGCGCTGCCCCCTGTCACGCTGATCCCGGTGCTGGGAGGCATATTACCCTTTTACTATATAGAATAGAGGCCTGGTGCACGGGTGGGGGCCGGCTGGTTTGCCCTGAAGGGGGTCCTGGATCAGGGTGGGGGTCCCCACTGGGGTGCCTGGCCAGTCTGGGTGAGGGGCTGAGGGCTGTTTTCAGGCTGGCGGGTGACAGAAGCTCCCAACTGCTCCTTTTTTTCTTTTTAATTCTGGGCCAGCTTTAGCTCTGAGGCTCCAGCTCTTAGGCCGCCAGTGCTGAAAGTAGGTATCAGTTTGTTTCGGTTCTTAAGTGAAACAATGTATAACTCCAGCTCTGACTCCAGCTCTGAGATCCCAGCTCGCTGAAAGCTGGTTTCTGGGGTTTTGTTTAACTTCTATATTTGTTAAAATGTTTCAAACTGCAGGCTCAGAGGCCTGCAGCGGCAGGGGGGGAACGTTGGTTTCCTCCATCACTGAGGCAAGCAAGCCTCATGTTAGTTTCAAGCTGCCTGGCTGCCGGCGGCCATCTTGGCTGACAGTTAATTTGCATATCTCGCTGATTAGCCAATGAAAAGGGTAGCGGTCGTACGCCAATTACCATGTTTCTCTTTTATTAGATAGGATACTGGTAAAAAGCCAAAATGGTACCTACAGAAGTAGTAGGTAACTACATAAAAAGTTAGTACCAAATCACTTTATTGGCTTTGATTCCCTGACTCTATCAATTACAAGATTAAGAGTGACAGTGCACTCTCTGTAGAATGTGAAATAGACCCATTATATTCATTTATTTAGATCTTTAATTTCTCTTAATGTTTTACATTTTCTATGTAATTTTTCATATTTTGTTACATTTATTCCTATTTGATATTTCTAAGTGCTACTATAAAAGATATTTAAAATTTTACTTGACCTTATTTGGCTTTTTTATTTGACCTTAAGTCCAACAACTTTACTAAACTAATTTTAATAATTTATCTGAATTAGAAACATGTTTTTACGTGCATAATTATATTATCTACAAGTGATAATTTAATTCAGTGGTGATTAGAATTCTCAGCAAGAATTCTCATCTTATTCCTGTTCTCAGGAATACAACATTGTATCAAGTAGGATGTTTGCTATAGATACCTTTTTGATCTCTTTTATCAGATTAAAGAAGTCCTCTTATACCTCAAATTTGTTTTGTTGTTATTTAAATAAGGGATTTTGAATTTTAGCATACTTTATCTGATTTTATTAGACTATCATGTTTTTTCTTATTTCATTGTTTAATGCAGTGAATGCACTATTATTTTTAGAATTTTTCCACTTTACATCTAATAAGGCAGTAGCTTTCCACTGAACAAAATGGAAGGAATTTTGTATTTATCCCTAAGTTTCCCTAGCAAAATGTGGTATGCATTTATGTCTCACACATTGTGCACAATATAAAATGAAGATAGCTAGTTTAGAATTGCAAATCAAATTTGTAGTATCTTAAACAAATGTTTTTAAGCATAAAATGAATGTTAATATAAAATTGTTAATATAGAAACTGAAATCACCAGGAAGGCTTGCCAGTTTTGCCCAGGGTCAAATTAATGTATTACACTGTGGTGTTTAAAGAAAGAACATCATTGTTTTTTCAACACATGGGCATTGGTATAACCAGCTCCTAATATATCCTTCAAAAACTGTTAAGCATTCAAAATATTTTTAATAAGAATTGAGTTTCAAGAATACTAAAATATGAGAAAACAAATACAAATATGAAAAGGGAAAGAAAAGTACCCTGTGGTTCTTATCAGAAGTAAATTAGAATCACTTGGCCCTCTGGATTTGAAATATATAGTTTTCTTTTTTAATGGACTTTTATTAAATATACTAGAGGCCTGGTGCATGAAATTCGTGCACTCAGGAGGGTCTCTCAGCTAGCCTGTGCCCTCTCGCAGTCTGAAAGCTCTCAGGGGATATCTGACAGTCGGACATCCTTAGTGCTGCCACGGAGGTGCGAGAGGCTCCTGCCACCACTGCTGCACTCACCAGCCGTGAGCCAGGCTCAGGGCTTCTAGCTGAGCAGTGCTCCCCCTGTGGGAGCACAATGACCACCAAGGGGCAGCTCCTGCATTGAGCACCTGTCCTCTGGTAGTCGGTTCATGTCATAATGACCGGCTGTTTTGCCGTTTGGTCTATTTGCATATTAGCCTTTTATTATATCGGATAATACACACACAACTGCTTTTTTACGTACTACAGTTTGTTCTAAGCTAATTTTGGATCACGAAAATTTTCACTTTAAATTTAGTTTCAATAATTCTATCAACCAAAGATAGATATATTCAAATTTGTGAGAATACAATGTTTGGCATTCTTCAGTGTTATAGTAAAGGTATAAAATTTCCGAAAAATTTATCTTTTACCTACAAAATTTCTTCATGAAAAGTTGCCTTATGCATATTTTTAAATTTTCTAATCTTCTACAAAGTAGATAGCAAGTAGGAATATTCCAGTTTTTACAGACACAGAAGCTGTTTTAGGGGACACCAAAAGATAAACAGATAAACATTGAGAGAATATTTGAATCTAAACTGAACTGGCAAAGAGGCACTTTTGATTAGACTCTCCCTATAACCAAATAGCCTTTAAGAGACTCTATGAATATCTGAAAATGCCAAGGATTTACTTTGTTCATTAAATAGGAAATATTTTACTCTGTAGGAAGCTAGAAATATATCCTCCACTGCCCCACCAAAGCAAGTGAAAGTACACTTCCCCCACCACAATATAGTAATTTTAACTGATTATTCTATAAAATTAATTTCAAACAAATTCAAAATTCACTAATATAATGCACTATATCAGATAATAATTAGAACAATTAAACTTAGGACATCACAGTTTACAGCAAAATATTGAGGTTCTAATTTACAGTTATTAATGATAATGAAACAAATCATAAGTAGACTCTTTGAATTAAACTATATAGCTTGCTTATTAATAGAAAATAGCTATTTAAAGAGAAAAAATAGATCCTAAAATCAATACCTTCCTGAGAGATATTACTATAATTTCCTTTTCTAAGAAAATGAGAGGAAAAACTTTTCATAAGTTTAGTTATTATAAATCAACATTACATCTAATGAAAACCAAGTTTTAAAGAACCATTGTAGCTTTGCAGTCCAACCTACAAAGAGAGGTCAACTAACAACTATGTCATTAAATTTATCCACCAATCATATGAATTTCTATCTTCTCTGTACCAAAATTAGGGTACTGAAATTAATGATATAATTTCAAAACAGCAACTCCATATAAAATAACATGTTAAGAATGCTGTTAAGTGTTTTCAGAGCTCACTTGATTCTCATAATCTTGTTGACTGGGGAAAACAAATAATACCATCTCTGTTTTATGAATAAAGAAGTCTCAGTAAAGTTAATGGTAGATCCAGGACTGGTCAAGTTGTCTTTGTTAAATGTGTTTCATTTACCTTTATCACCATCATTATAATCTCTAGTATAGAAACCCCATGGCCTTGACGCCTTGATGCTGTAATGACCAAATGCCAAAAGGCACCTGTTGAACATCATATGATTTCTTCATGGGAACAATTAAGTGTTGCTCTGTTCAATTCTCATCTTCCAATGAAGGTCAATTTAAGTGCTCTTGAGAAGGGAAGGTTAGGGCAGGAAACTATTCTTATCTCCGTCCACACGGTTTTTAAGGTAGGCAGGCTGCGTGTGCGGCGAGGCGCGTGCAAGTGGGCGGGGACTTGATGCTGGGCCCCGTGGCGCGCCAGGTCTAGGTCTCGTGCAATTTCGCACCGTGGACCTCTAGTAAACACTATATTAGAGTTAGCTACATGCCAGACATCATTTTAAGTACTTTGCTGTATTAACTCATTTAATCCTCATAACAACCCTTAGAGTGAAGTACATTACTATTATTCCATTTTCCAGAAAAAACAGACATATAGAGATTAAGTAATTTGTCTGAAGTTAAAGAGCTTAGTAAGTAGCTGAACCAGGATTGAAACCCAAGTAGTTTCGTTCTTAATTCTGTGCTCTTAAACCAATTCACAATGCTGCTTCTCAAATATGCAAAGCATATGTCTGTGAAAGTAGTATATTAAAAGTTAACATCCTATATAATAAAAGAGAAACATGTAAATTGACCATCCCTCCACTACACTCACCAATCAGGAGAGTATGCAAATTAACCCAACAAAGATGGTGGGTTAATTTGCATATGCAGGCACTGAGCGGCCTGAGTCCCGGGAACATCCTTGGGACTCAGGCCACTCCTAGCCTGTAGGCCCACACATAGGCCCTGAGCAGCCAGGGTTCCAGAACGCCCCTGGCCACTCCGGGCCTACGGGCGCAGGCGCCAAGCGGATGTTCCCGCCCTGTGGCACTTGCGCATGTGCTGGCGCCAAGCAGCGGTCCGAGTCCATGCCCCCTAGCTCGGCGCCCATCACGGGGTGAACAGGCCAGGCCAAGCCTCCCCGCGATCCCAGGCAAAGAAGCCGCTCCACTGACCAGCCTACACTATGGACCTGTTCGGGTGGGTGGTGCGGAGTCCAGGGCCTCTAGCCTGCAGCCACGGGAAGTCTCCCTCTCCCCAAAGTTAGGAGCACCAGCCCAGGTCCACCCAGCAGCCCAGTCCTGACTGCGGGGGTGAGTTCCTGCAGGCTAGGGTTTGATCCCTAGGCATTAGCAGTAGGAGACCAGTGCCTTTGTTATTGCTGTGAGTTCGGGTTTTAATTGGACAAATGCCTGATGGTCCTGGGCACCAGCTTAGCAAAATCTTTTAGGAGGAGAATTCTGTCTGGGTTTCCTCAAATTCCCTCAGCCCCTACTCACCCATCTGTAAAGGTGCAGAACAAGTGAGGCCCCTTAAATAAAAATCAGAGGTCTCCAGCAATGGTGGGCCTCTCTCATCACAGTCATTGGGACTGGATGGCATTTGAGTGTTTATATATTACTATCACAACCCAAATTTATTGCTTAAAAACAAAAGCAGGGAGCCAACTAGAAACTGAACCAAATATAAACCCCTGAAGGGCAAATGTAAATTGGATAAGCTTTGCTATTACAAGAGCAAGAAGAAAAAATCCAGATGCAAGAATCAGAAGCACACTGCATCCACTCTAAGTTGCTGTTAAAGAAAAATACTTAATACAGATTATAAAGAGATTTGTTCAAAGAGGATTTCCTAGAGTAGGTGGTATTTCAGTTAATTTTTTTAAATGTGAAGAGGTTAGCTAGGTAAGAAAAAGGTGTAGAGATCCCAAATCGCAGAGGGTGCAGGTGGGGCTAAGGGACCCCCCACCCACAGGCACGAATTTTGTGCACCGCGCCTCTAGTATTTCATAAGCATTTATTTTATGTAAAACTCCTTAAACTTAGAAATATGCTTTAAAATGAACACTATTAAGTTAGAAAAAAATATCTAGATCAGTGGTTCTCAACCTTCCTAATGCCGCGACCCTTTAATACAATTCCTCATGTTGTGGTGACCCCCAATTTCATTGTTACAAATTGAACATATTTAAAGCATAGTGATTAATCACAAAAATAATAAAAAATTATATATGTGTTTTCCAATGGTCTTAGGCGACCCCTGTAAAAGGGTTGTTCAACCCCCAAAGGGGTCGCGACCCACAGGTTGAGAACCGCTGATCTAGACTGATTCAACATAAAACTCAATCAAGCTAGAAAACAAAGTAGCATAATAGAAAGTGGGACTAAATGAATATGCAATTAACCATGAAAGTTGAAAGAAAGAAATGAGTGGAAACAGTAGCCAAAATATTCAAAATAGCAAATAATTAAGATATAATTTAAATTCTTCTTTGATACTTGTATTTGAATGTCAATATGTAATATTCTGGTAACTTAGATCATTTAGGATAGCATGAGCTTTCATTTAAAGTACAGAGTCTGAAGGAACTATAAAGTTGTCCACTTTCCCTTTTGTACCTCTAAGACCACAGCAATGGTCTGAGAGATGAAACTAAATGCCATCTCAAAAGAGCTGCTTTGTAAGGCAAGGCAGTGTCTTTCAATACTAGATTAATTTAAAGAATAAATGTGTGGGTTTAAACACTCTCACAGGTTGAGAATAGAAAATAAAAGTCACAACAGTAGAAACAATTAGTGTTATAATCTACCTTGTTTAATTATGCTAACAGTAATCTACCTATAAGATACATTCACAACTCCTCCCTACCAATTATCCTATATAAAAGGCTAATATGCAAATTGTCCCCTCGGGAGTTCAACCAACCAGAAGTTTGACCACTCACTATGACGTGTGCTGACCAACAGGGGGCGGCACAGAACCAAGGAAGGCCCCGGCCGGCAGCCAGCAGCTGGGGGAAGGAAGGCCCCAGCCAGCAGCCGGCAGATGGGGGAAGGAAGGCCCCAGCCAGCAGCCGGCAGCTGGGGAAAGGAAGGCCCCGATTGGCCCTGATCAATTGGCCAGGCCTAGAGACACTACCCGTGCATGAATTTCAGGCACCGGCCTCTACTCTGAGAATAAAACTGAGTATGGATTTTAAGAACTGTATAACAAAAGAGCCTTGTAAACTATGTAAGTGCAGAACAAAAGGTGATTTATATGTTTCTCAAAGATTTAAAACATTATCATGTTTACAAATTTTGTGACAATTCATACTTCAAAATTTACCTTTACTCTTAATACTATGTTAAATCACAGAAAGCAACAAAAGTTGATTAAAAATATACAAATGCTCCTATAACAACCAAAATGCATATGGCTAATAAAAATTTTTGAGAACGGTAATGCTATGCTATCTAGTGGTGCCATCTTGTGGAAAATACTGAAGAAAGCTGAGTTTTGAAAATCATCCTTCAATTGCCTAAAAGCAAAGTAAACAGGTTTTGGAAAAATACTCAAATAAATCTAACACATACTAGTAAGGAGAATTTTTAATTCCAGTTATGGTGGTATTATTTAATAATCCATTTTAATCCATGATCATAAAAATCTCTTCAGAACTAGAATAAAATATTGAGTATTTAAAGATGTTATTGATTCTAAATAAGAAACTAAATAACTGTCAAAAAACTTAAATCACAAACTAAAATTTAAATTGTATAATATTTAATCACCTTAATTTGAAATTTAAATGAACACTTGCTAATGAACTAAAATGCAGTAAAAGGGAATGTTATGCCAAAAATTTGGTAGAACCTACCCACTGTATGAACCAACTTGATGTAAAGCTGAAATTATTTTTTTTAAAAAAGTGTCAATCTTACACTTTTATCTGATGCATGAATATCTATATTTCCATAAATTGTTCCCAGACAGATCACTTTGCCTCCTTTCGTCTGAACAGATAATTTTTGACTCTGAAAGACAAATATAAAAATACATAGAGAAAAAGAATAAATTTGACTTATGCCAGTAAGATTTCTATCATGTTACACATTTCTTTTTAAATAATAATAAAGCAGAAGAGAGGAACCAGGAATTAAAAAGAAATGCACTGTTTGGAATAATAACATCAAGTAAAAAAGAATGTCAACTGCTTTAAGAAGATTAAATAAGCCATGTGGATTCAAAGGGGGAAAAGAGCTACCTGGGCATTCCAGTAGCTTCACTGAAAAAGAACTTGGGAATCAAAGACCACTGACTGACTGACTACACATAAAGGATGAGGAGGATGACAACAATAACCACTGTTACTGTTCATTGTTATTAATATTCTTCATTATTAATAAGAACATTTAGCACTTATCTGGCCATTCTTTGCATCAAAATATATAATATAGTCTTTATCAAGCAGATAATTGATGAATATTAGAAGAGTATCTCCAAAACAACTAATATTTTAAATCAAGAGTTCTTAACCAAGCCTACTGAATTTCTAGTCAGTGAAACCTACGAAATTGTAAGCAAAATTTCATATATGTGTGTTTTTTTTCTTTTCTGAGACAATCATCAGATTTTCAAAGAAGTGAAGGCTCAAAAACGTTGGCTAGTCTTATAATTTAAAGCTTATCTAATTCCCCTCCAAAAATGTGAAGCAGATTACAAAAATTTTAAAAATATTTAAAACAAAATAGGTAAAATAAATGTTTATATTATTAATTATTTAGTATAAGATCAATTAATATACTGCACTTAAACAATGCAAATGTGTGGCATTCAATGAGTTAAGGGTCTACTGCCTGAAATATTTTCTTAGTTATTCTCTAAGAATGCAGAATAAATGTAGTATTGCCATACATTTTGCTTGAACAATAAAGAAAAGTGGAGCCCTAACCAGTTTGGCTCAGTGGATAGAGCGTTGGCCTGCGGACTGAAAGGTCCCAGGTTCGATTCCAGTCAAGGGCATGTATCTTGGTTGCAGGCACATCCCCAGTGGGAGATGTGCAGGAGGCAGCTGATAGATGTTTCTCTCTCATCGATGTTTCTAACTCTCTGTCCCTCTCCCTTCCTCTCTGTAAAAAAATCAATAAAATATGTATTAAAAAAGAAAAGTGGAAAGATTATGAGCTTGGAAATCAGAAAGACCCAAGTTCAAATCTCAGCTCAGTTTATTACTATGTAAACTTAAATGAGTTCCTCAATCTCTTAGTGCCTCATAATTTCTCCCTTGATAAAAAGAGATAACTCAAGGATTAACCTAATATTTTTTAAATGTACTATTAGTTTCACTGTAGAATTCAAAATGAAATCTAAAAGGAATATGAGGAAAAAAACCTTCAAAGCTGCTACAACCTCTGTACTTTCAGAACAGAACTGACTTCAATGCAAATTTTTTACAAGTAATTTCTGATTGATAAATTATACTTAATATTCATAATAAATGATATTCAGAATAACAGCTTTAGTCTGATATTGCAGTTCATAGTTTAAGGTGTGTGTTTTTTAAATAATGCTGACACAAAATTAGAAAAATGCTTATACCTTAACAGACTGTAAGATGCTAGTCCCCTGCTCAGTTTCAATTTTGCAATTATCACACTCAATATTTTGGACTTTTATACAGCCAGACCCGGAAGACTTGATATTCAAATCTAGAAATGAAAAAAGAAAGTACAAGTTAGTACGATGGTTAATGGGCTTCAAAGCGTTTTAATACCCCCTAGAAATCCAGCTCCTCAGTTAAGTTCACAATATTACTGAACGCTGGAGAGAGCACAGTTGTCAGTCTCTCTCTCTCTGAAGGTAAGGAGGGGTCTCCATCATGGTAACAGGACCAAATGTAATGCCTTTTCCTGCCAGTTCTTATAAATAGAGCAGTTATTTCTGTTAGGCAATGTCATCTAAAGAGAGAAAGTAATATGGAAGGGAAGTAAAGGAGGTCTTAAACTCCAAATCTAAAGGAACTCCTGGGGAAGATCATAGAAGCTTCTTTACCACTGAGAGAACACACACACACAGTTCTAGTAAGAAGAATACAGCAAGTTAACAAGTCATTATGATAAACTAGGTAAGTCAGTTAGCCTATTTCTTCCTTATATTCATGAAATTTCAAAAATTTTCTCCCAAACCTCCCCCAAATTAAAAGCATTTTGCAGAAGTAGTGTGGATTAGCATATATGATCATGGCTTAGTATTTCAAAATCCTATCTCTAATCTTTTGTATCTAAAACAGAGGATATTAGCATGCAGCTACATACCGTATTTGCCGGCGTATAAGATGATTTTTTGGCCCTGAAAAATATGCCTCCAAGTGGGGGGTCGTCTTATACGCCAGGTACACTTCAGATAGACTGCCCATAGTGCTTGCCCCGTGCCATAGTGGCCTCCCGATGCCCGCCCACTTCATTCCACATACCGTTCAGGCATCAGCAGCGCTGCTGGGTG